GAAAAGAAAAAAAAGGAGAAAAAAAAGAGAGTGTTTATTCTAATATGCTTGTTGTTTTGAAATAAAAGCTAGTTAAAGGTGGTCGTTTTGTTGGTTTGCAATGGTGAGTCACAAAAACAATTCAAGATCCCTCGAAAATAAAAGCATCTTCTCCACCAATGGAACAAGCACCATTGTTGTTGATCCAAAGTCACGAAAGGCAAGTAGGCAAGTTGGTGGTGTAAAATCAAAAATGGAGGCAAATGTGGGGTTGACTTTGCCAGATTTGAGCAATAGGACATGGCCTACTCGGGATGATTTGACGATGGGGAGAATAGGAGAATTCTTCCAGGTCTTTTACTAAATTAGTTGATTTGAAATTTCCCATGTCGTCAGTCCTTAAATTTGATAGCCGATATTGGGAATGTTTTGATCAAAAGGTCAAAATATGTTGACTCAAAAGCAATAAAAAAGATTGAATGGCGTAGTAGTGCTGATGTGAAAATTTGTGGCTAAGATGCTGCTTAATAACTGGAAAGTCACTCCTCTTTTAGCTATGGTATCTTATTTTGTCGTCTTTTCTTCTTCTTTTTGTGTTATCAGATAATGCTATCCTTTATTCAATACAAAATAGTCAGTCATTTTGTGTCTTGTTTGTGCATAGTTTTTTTCATGATAGTTCTAGTGACATGACATGCATGCGGAATTTTTGGTCAGATCTTAGAAGACTGATTTAGTCTTGAATTGGATAAGTGAGAAAGACATACTCTGGAGGATAGATAAAGAGTTGAAATATTTTGGAATTAAGCCCGAGTAAAATTCTTTTTAAAATAGTCATACCCGTGGAGGTTAAGGATATCTACCTTTGAATCATTGCGAATATCGGTTTTGAGCAAGAACCAATTGAAGTTTGGGGAAAGCTTGACATTAATGGATGGGAAGTGTCTTTCGACCATGACACACCATGATCCAACTGTTAAAAATTGCATTAGACAAGACCAAGAAGACAGACATGTTCATCAATGCTATGATCGCGAAAGAATACTATGTTAGGTGTTCTCGAGGCTGGGAGGCCCTTTTTTTGCTACCCAAACACGATGAACCTTTTGTTACCCCTTTTGAGCTTGTGTTATTTTCTTTGACCACCCCCTTTTGGAATCAAGTTTAGAGTCTGTTGGCCCAAGAACAGGTGAAGTTTTGAAGAATGACAAATGAACTCAGACCAGGTCCATCATGTGAAGCACAGTCATGATCAACCTATACATGTGAGATGCACGTGAAGGAGATAAGTCCCACTGATCAAGCAGCAATATCTCCTGATCTGATGGAAAAGGTTGCATATTGGATAAGGGGAGAAAGTCTCCTTATATAAAGAGAACACAATCCGGATAAAGAGAGTGCCAGAGTTTGATATCGTCAAGGACTCAACTACGATAGAAGATCAGAAATTGAATCCCAATCAAACTCTGAATACTAACCTATTAAATGACAGTGATTGATCTCTTTTACACGGATTGCACAAACGCAGAAGTTAAGCTAAATTCAAAGCAAAAGAGCAAGGTGATTTTGCAAGCAATTTATGTGAGATTTGAGTGTGCACTCCTGAAGCTACTTGAACGAGATAGAAGAACCAGTTCTATTGTGTTTTTTCTTATTCTAGTTCAATTGTAGTAGGTGGTTCAAAGTTGTACCTTTCTAGCTTTCATAGAAGCAATTGTATTAGGTACTTTGTGAGTTCAAGTTATAGGCTAACTTGAAGTTGTCGCAACAGTTAGAGGTTGGTTGCTACAACGGGATTAGAGGTAATCCTTAGGTTTATAAAGAGTTTTGTAAATGTTGTTTTGGCTCAGTGATTTAGTGAAGTGTTGGGAAAAATCCTACTGAGTAGTATGTCGTGGTTTTTTCACCTTTTGAGCCGGGTGTTTTCCACGTAAAAATCTCTGTGTTCTTTATTTTATGTACTTTTAATTCCGCAAACAGTAGTAGTTAGAACACCTAGAAGAACCTAGTTCTTCTAGATCGAAAATTGGGTACCACACAAATCACCCCCCTCTTGTTTGGTATTGACGCTTAAAACAACAGAGTGAAAAAAAAAAGATGAAGAAAAGAACTGTCAAAGGTCCATTCCCCCAAAAATAGAAGCTAGGGCAATTTATTTTGAAAAACAAACAAAAAAGATAGAAGAAAANGGGAAGATATTGTGCTTTACCCATTATTCTGAATAAGTGATATTTATAACCTAATTAACCTGGTCCTTGATGAAAAGTAAATTTTTTAAGTCTAGTGTTGATAGTTAAGCTGAGTTCTTACATGTCTTTTAATCAGTAAAAAGCACAGAGTTTATCATCATCAAAAAGGAGGAATTTGTTGGCCCAAGAACAGGTGAAGTTTTGAAGAATGACAAATGAACTCAGGCATGGACCAGGTCCATCATGTGAAGCACAGTCATGATCAACCTATACATGTGAGATGCACGTGAAGGAGATAAGTCCCACTGATCAAGCAGCAATATCTCCTGATCTGATGGAAAAGGTTGCATATTGGATAAGGGGAGAAAGTCTCCTTATATAAAGAGAACACAATCCGGATAAAGAGAGTGCCAGAGTTTGATATCGTCAAGGACTCAACTACGATAGAAGATCAGAAATTGAATCCCAATCAAACTCTGAATACTAACCTATTAAATGACAGTGATTGATCTCTTTTACACGGATTGCACAAACGCAGAAGTTAAGCTAAATTCAAAGCAAAAGAGCAAGGTGATTTTGCAAGCAATTTATGTGAGATTTGAGTGTGCACTCCTGAAGCTACTTGAACGAGATAGAAGAACCAGTTCTATTGTGTTTTTTCTTATTCTAGTTCAATTGTAGTAGGTGGTTCAAAGTTGTACCTTTCTAGCTTTCATAGAAGCAATTGTATTAGGTACTTTGTGAGTTCAAGTTATAGGCTAACTTGAAGTTGTCGCAACAGTTAGAGGTTGGTTGCTACAACGGGATTAGAGGTAATCCTTAGGTTTATAAAGAGTTTTGTAAATGTTGTTTTGGCTCAGTGATTTAGTGAAGTGTTGGGAAAAATCCTACTGAGTAGTATGTCGTGGTTTTTTCACCTTTTGAGCCGGGTGTTTTCCACGTAAAAATCTCTGTGTTCTTTATTTTATGTACTTTTAATTCCGCAAACAGTAGTAGTTAGAACACCTAGAAGAACCTAGTTCTTCTAGATCGAAAATTGGGTACCACACAAATCACCCCCCTCTTGTTTGGTATTGACGCTTAAAACAACAGAGTGAAAAAAAAAAGATGAAGAAAAGAACTGTCAAAGGTCCATTCCCCCAAAAATAGAAGCTAGGGCAATTTATTTTGAAAAACAAACAAAAAAGATAGAAGAAAAAGAAAAAAGAAAAAAATAGAAAGAAAGATGAAAAAAAACTTAGTTAGGTCAGATGTTTGAACTGCGTTTGACCTGATTCCTTAAAACAAGGATACGTAGGCAGCCTTACACGGCTCAGTCCAACCAAATGAGAATTCATAAAAAGAAAAAAAATCCAGTATCTAAAACTGGGGCATGAGTTTGTTTTATTTTTTGAAAGAGTCGATTCCAAGAGCTGTAAGTGTACAACCCATCATATTGAATCTATTTTGAGCCTCCATGTCGTCCTTTTTTTTTCAACCCTATCCAAAAACCTTCCAAATAAAGACCTCATGAGCAGCCTTCAAGAATGTCAAGAGACGCATGCAATGAGTAATAATTGTCACACTACGTAGAACACTATCAAGTTGCTCACAAGAAAAGAGGAAAAAAAAAGAAAAAATGAGAGAGTCTTACTAATGAAAATTCGCACGGGCACTGTAAGGCAACGGTAAGTAGAGAAAATAAATGAGAGAGACCTGTTGGTGAAAGGGAAGATTGGATGAGTTTGATAGAAAATGAATGAGAGAGACTAGTCGAAAGTGAGTCGTGAAGCTAATGCAAAGAATTGGCACAAACAAGCTCGACTTCAAAGGTCATAAGAATGGTAAAAGGGAAGATTGGATGAGTTTGATAGATCAGGCCGTTAAGTCCAAAATGCATGTCATGATCATTAAGGCTAATTTTTTTTATTAAAAAAACATTCCTTCTATCCTTCTCGATAGGGGCATTTCTTTTTAATAATATTTCTTTGCATCATTGTGCCCCTTCACTCTAATCAGTCCTTGTCAAAACAAGTAAGAAAAGATTTCAAAATCTGCTACCAGCTTTTCAGTTGCACAAAGTAAATTTGGCCAGCACACTCAGCTGTTACAGTCTACATGCCTTGATGATTCATGCAAAGTTTCCCCCTCAAAAGACTCTTGCCAACCTACTTGGCTAAAGCAAGCAAAGATAACCTCAATGCTAATCAAGGATTCTTTGTAGTATCGAACAAGGACTATGAAGTGTGCACATTGTTCAAAAAGCATTTAACAGTTGTGACTCTATCTGACAAACAAATTGCTCAAAAAGTAAGAAGTCATTCAAGATATACTACTAGAAACTAAGCCTATGGCAACCCTTCCAAAACCGTGGCAATAGATACATTAACCGTCCTTATAGGGATACTGAGACAGATTCGGAACCGTTCCGGGATCTGGCGTTACAATAGGTCAATTGGAATGGTTATTTGTAACGGTTTCAAAACCGTCTCCATAGAGGAATATTATAACGGTTATGAAACTACTACCATTGTTCCATCTTTGGGAACGGTTTTCGGTTCTATTGGGACGGTTATAAACCGTTGTGGTACCATTATACTAGAGATTTTCTTAGTCTATTGCGACGGTTTTCATGTATATTTAAACAGTTTTGTGATATATTGGAACAATTATCATTATCCTACTGCAACAGTTATTAGGGGCTCCTGTTATTATTTTTAGGTCTATTGGAACGGTTGGATTCTCTATTGCAACAATTCACAATTATCATTTTTGATATTTATTGAAGCAAAATGAGGAATATTTTCCTATGCAATGTAATTTAATACACCATAAATTATATAAACCACGAAATAAAATAAAAATATTCAACTAGCTTTATCCATATACAAAAACAAAATATGAATACATTGTTTGATCAACAATTCAAAAGTCAAAATAGATGAGTTTGCATACAAAAAGTTCTAAACTAAAATATTGAACATGATAATAGAACTTTCAAGTAAGGTCTACTTCACTGGTTTCATCCGCAATCTTTGCACCTACAAAAGACAATAAGAAACAATTAAACAATTTTTTTTAAGATAATTGAATGACAAATTTTCTAACTCTCTAAATTCCTAGAATTTTCGGCAGAGTTTCCTTTGTAAATACGACTATCCCAAAAATTTTAACCTGCTCAAAACATCATTATTCTATAAGAAGTTATAACAAGTGAAGTTTCCTTTGATCATTTAGAATTGGAGTTGGTTCAGCAACTATATTGAACTTGCAGAGTATCGTTGGTCTGGAAACATTTTTATTCCAAGCAAATTAGTTTTCACTTAATGATGTCCCGATTTGTTTAATATTTATGGTACTAAATAGATCATGATGATCTATCGTCCTAAACACTTTCCTTTAATAAGAAATATGATGGAGTACCTAAGCCATAATTGGGTAAAAGAAGGAAAAACAATAGCAGCAGCAGCAACAAGCAAGTGAAAGACGCAAAACATAGCAGCAGTGAAGTAGAAAACGAAGGGGTAAAATAGCAACAATGAGCTAAGTATGCATAGTTTTTCGACAAAGAAAAAGCAGTAAAAGAAGAAAAAACAGCAGCAACAGCAGCAATAAGCAAGTGAAAGATGCAAAAAACTAGTAGCAGTGAAGTAGAAGAAGAAGGGAAAAAACAGCAGCCACGAGCCGCAACTCTGATTTCAATTGGACCATAAATACAAACTTATAAGTTCATCGTATTAGGTGCTTCCATGTCTTAAATCCATAGTTCCTTTCATTTTAAGTGAAAGCAGCACAAGCATAATCGGACAGAAGTAAAAGAATGTGTTTATCAAAAATATTACTAGAGAAAGAAAAAAGGAGCAGCGAAACGATTCAGAATAACCAAGACAACGACATCGAACATCGATAGCAAAGATCGAACAAGGAAAATCTCATGGTTTCAAACTTAAAATCAAAACCTAACAAACTCACATGGTTAGTTTCATATCCGATTTCGCATATTCATATCCGTCAATTAGTCTCAATAAGTAATTTCTAGCGATTAAATTTAGCATATTCTTATCACAAATTCTGTATTTCATATCTCTTATATTGTTGTTATTTTATTATGCATTTTTATGGTACTAATATATCGGTTCCTGTTGCTTTTTTGAGCCAAGGGTCTCCTGAAAACAGCCTCTCTACCCTTCGGGGTAGGGGTAAGGTCTGCGTACATATTACCCTCCCCAGACCCCACTTGTGGGATTATACTGGGTCGTTATTGTTGTTGTTGTTGTTGAAATTTAGAATAAAAGCATTGCAAAGAGTTGAATTCAATTCCCCTGTTAGAATTCTTTGATTTAACTTGCTAGATAATATAGTAGGCAAAAAATGGAGAACGTAACAACAAAATTATTCCCTCTAATTTGTAAAGTATGGTTCTGTAAAATTGTAATACCATATGCATCACTACCTGCTATTAGCTTTCGCTGAAAATTTTAACTTATCACTACTATACATTTACATGTAAGTTATTTCTGCACAATATATATTTTCCAGAACCTAAAGTTTAAGAAGAAATATGAGGGAAATTATAGCACTACCGTGTGGTACTATATTTCTTCATTATCATAATAGGCATATAGGTACTTTTCATGATTTCTGAGGACTCAATATCAAGTTAAATTAATAAGTATAGGAAAGTAGGAAATTCAGTTTAGTAATTTTTAAATAGCATCAGAGATGTCAATGGAAGGTTCCTAGAGATGAACTTACAAACTAGACAATTTCGCCTAAAAATTTTTAACGCGTAGTATCGAAAAGCTATGATAAATATGTAAAGATAACAATCAAAGTTAAAATAAGCGGGAAATGATGTGTTCCAGCCTTTTTTGTGGCTTCTGCTGAATATATGAGTTTTCAGAGATGAGTTTACAACATAGTGTGTTAAACAATCAATTTTTCAGCTTCATGATCTGTGTTTGCTTGAGGATTCACTGAAAATATTGGATGTAGTGGTGCTCTTAAAGGTCTAGATTTTTACTTTTAATGACCTTTTCTACTCTAAATGATTTTGCTCCCGAGCTTTCAAGGATATTTCTAAAAATATGTAAGTGGAAGCTTTTGTTCAAGTTTTAAGCTGAAGACCCGGAGACTTTGCAAAGTAGTGACTGGTAATTTTGAACTTATTAATGAACAATTACAAATTCACGCAAAACAATATAAATCAACCATAAATTTCCTTCACTTCACAACGAGGACAACACATTAAGATCCACAGTGAAGAACACATACAGATTCTATTTGTGTTATAACCAAAACAATCAACTAGTTCTTCAAGAATGATATTTTTAGCGATCTTAAGCAATTATATATTAATTAAATCAATAGAAGTAGTGAACCTTAAACAGAAACTACAAATTACCAATTTCACAAAAGAAAGGGACAATGAGATAGACCCAAAATTAGAAAAACAAAGGTGATAGTAGTATAGTACCTTCGAGATAATCTTGAATCCAAAACTATGCAAATGGCCAGCAGGTAACGCTGCAGATTCTGGCACTACTGGTTGTGCCCATTTGCTACCAAAAAGCCTTAGCACAAATTCGATAGTATTTGATTCCACTATTGACAATGATATTTTACACAAAAATATACAATAAACTACAAGTTAGAAACAAGACTTTTTAAATTTACCATAAGTCCCCGGCAATAATGTCCACAAAATACTCCTTTCCGTATTAATTTCTATTAGGTTGCATGTAACTGTAACTAGGATTTAGGAACAAGCAAATCGATTACAAACCAGAAAACCAAGTATGATTGAGAAGATATCTAAGCTCAATCAAACTTATATGAATGAAGTGAAAAGGTAAATCACACCATTTCAATAGAAAAAGGGACCATTTCAAGCCTCCTTGTTCAAATCTGAGAAAAATAAAGTTAAACCATTAGGCATTACCCCAATAGATAGAACTCATCTTTTCTCTTTGTCATATACTCATAATGAGTGTAAAATTTTTAATCTTTCTAAGTTTAAAAAAGCATCAAAGTAAACTTTAACTTTGACAAATCTTTAAACTTTCAGTAGCAATTGCAATATGCAATTCTAATTTCTATTTCTAGATGACTAATGACATATTCCATTTCCAAAAAAGGAATTACTCTTGTGTTTTTTCCGAATGAAAAGATGATATAGCCACAAATTAGATAATTCAAAGACTAAAAAGAGTACAACTTCGAAATGAACTATAACTAATAATATCTTATTTGGTCAACCATGAATGAAATAAGGTCACTAAAGCTTAATATTCGTCAATATCTTTTCTTCCTAATAGATTAACATATAAAGAGAACAGAGCATCAAGATTGCATTCAGGCTTACATATCAATATTTGTAAATCGAGATACATTTAAGCAAAAAATAAGATTTGAGTAGCCACTGCTAATGGGTCGGTATTTCGTCGAATAGTTAATATGCATGACAGATTTGAGTAAGCACAATTTTAGTAAACAACCAAGCAAACAACTCACTAATAGAAAATTGGGTATTCAAAATCATTTTACATACAGAGTAGGAAGAGATAATCCAGCAAGTCTACTAACTATTTAGATGAGATAAAATTGAACAAATTAGAAGAAACCCCCAAACCCCCAAAAAGAAAACTGCAGTACATATGAAAATCACTAACCCGAAAGGAACTAAATGTGAAATGGGGTTGGCTTTGCTCGATAATAGACCTAGTTGTGCAATAAAATAATGAGTTCTTTGGCAGCCCAGATCGGCGACCTTTACCAGCGAAATGGGACCTAGCGATAGAAGAAAAATCTATGTTCTTTAGAAGTCCAGATTTGCGACCTCCATAGGCAGAATAGACCTCCATTTTGTCGCTTCAAAATGATGGATTCTTCTTTAGGAGTGTTATATCAAGATGCTATATTTTGGATTCAACTATCGATTTGGACTTGGCAACAAAAGGTCTTAGAGTACTACTTTGTCTCTCATCAGGCTTAGAAATATTAGCAACTAAAAAAACTCCACTCAAAAGGTTAGGGTTTTGCGAAAAATAGAAGGGGGAAAATAAGGAGGGAATCTGAACCGTCCCAATAGATTTTATTTTAAGATATCCGTTTCCATAGATATACCTATTGTGATGGTTATGAAAACCGTCGCTATAGAAAAGACTAATAGAACGGTTCTAACACTACTGCAACGGTTTACTTACAAAAGTGTCTCAACAGGATCCATACCCTAAGCAACCATCTATAGCAACGGTTATATCAACCGTTGCCAACAAACTGTTCCCATAGGCCCAATTTCTTGTAGTGATATATTAGAAAAGGTCACCTAAGCAAATATCTCCAGTTGGGATAAGGTTGATTGAGCCACAAATACAAATGGTACTAGGTGTGAAACAATCAGGGTTGATGTAAAGCAAAAGTCTCTTGAGACCGACTCAAGCTGATTGAGCAAAAGCCAAGCTGCCCAAGACTCAAGGCTACAAACCGATCACTACTTTCAAAACTGACAAAATATTCTTTGTTTGTAATAGGAACAAAGCAGTGCAAGGAAAGTGGTTCAAAAAGAAAAAAAGAAAAAGAAGAGAAGAGCTGACAAAGGGAAGTTTCTCAAATTTTTGCATTATTTGTCTTGCTAGTGTGCATAAAATCTTGCCATTGCTCTTCACATTTTTTCCTTCTACGCTAACAACCTAGTCTGATGAATCTTTCTCCTAGGATTAGACGTCTTAGTCTGATAAATCTTTCTCCTAAGATAATAATAATTATATAAAAAATATAAAAAAAACTAGTCTGATAAATTTTCTCCTGGGATAATTTAAAAAAAAAATCTAGATTTTTAAAAAAGGAAGGGGTCAGTTTCAGTTTTCTCAAGTTGTTAATCTTTAGTTTTCCCTAAGTTCAGGGGTCCCGCCTGGAAAATAGGGCCAGTTTTAGGTTTCTTAAGTTGTTAATCTTTAGTTTTCCTTAAGTTCAGGGGTCCCGCCTGGAAAATAGGGTTATTTTAGTTTCCTTAAGTCTTTAATCTTTAGTTTTTTTCAAGTTCAGGGATCCCATCTTGAAAATAGGGTCAGTTTTTAATTCTCTTAAGTTTTTAGTCTTCAGTTTTCCTTGAGTTCAGCGATCCCGCCTGGAAAATAGGGACAGCTTTTAATTCTTTTAAGTTGTTAGCTCAGTTTTTCTTAAGTTTAGGGGCCCCGCCTGAAAAATAGGGTCAGTTTTAATTTCCTTAAGTTCAGGGGTCACGCCTAGAAAATAGGGTCAGTCAAGCTTAGTTTATAGTTTTTCTCAATCTTAAATCTAGGAGGCACTTCCTAGTTTGGGTCATTTAAGTTCATTCCTAGGAGACGCACTTCCTAGTTTGAGTACTGAGATTTTACCCCTATGAGACGCACTTCCTAGTCTGGGTCTTTCAGGATATACGTTTAGGAGATGCACTTCCTAAATTGATATTTCACTCCTATGAGACGCACTTCCTAGTTTGAGTCATTCTTGTTATACTTTTTTTAGGAGATGCACTTCCTAGTCAAAGTTTGTTAGTTTTACTCTTAGGAAACGCACTTCCTAGTATAAATTTGCCAGTTTTAAACACAGGAGATGCACATCCTAGTCGGGTCTTTAGTTTTACTCTCATCATCACATCATTTATCAATAGCATATATGATTTACAATTTTGCTAACAACTAACAAATTTTCCCAGTGCAAACTGGGGTAGAAAATTCATTTTGTTTGTTTTGATTGCAGGCATCCTCCTGGAGAACGAGGGTCGACATTTCAGAAATTGGTTTCAAGTTTTAAGTCATTGGCAGGCGCCCACCTAAAGAATGTGGGAATTTATTTTGAGTTCAAGTTATTGGCAGGCGCCCACCTGGAGAATGAGAGAATTTATTTCGAGTTCAAATCATTGGCAGGCGCCCACCTGGAGATTGAGGGAATTTATTTCGAGTTCAAGTCATTGGTAGGCGCCCACCAGGAGAATAAGGGAATTTATTTCAAGTTTTAAGTCAATTGCAGGCGCCCGCCTGGAGAACGAAGGAATTCATTTCAAGTTGTAAGTCAGTTGCAGGCGCCCACATGGAGAACAAGGGAATTCATTTCAAGTTGTAAATTAATTGCAGGCGCCCACCTAGAGAATGAGGGAATTTATTTTAAATTTTTAAGTCAGTTGCAGGCGCCCACCTGGAGAACGAGGGAATTCATTTCAAGTTTTTAAGTCAGTTGCAGGCGCCCACCTGGAGAACGAGGGAATTCATTACAAGTTGTAAGTCAGTTGCAGGCGCCCACCTGGAGAACAAGGAAATTTATTCAAGTTTTAAGTCAGTTGCAGGCACCCACTTGGAGAACAAGGGAATTCATTTCAAGTTTTAAGTCATTAGCAGACACCCATCCGGAGAATGAGGGAATTGTTTTCAGAGTTATTTTAATTTTTAAGTCAGTGGTAGGCTCCCACCTGAAGAATGAGGGAATTTATTTCAAGTTTCCAGTCAGCAGCAGGCGCCCGCCTGGAGAATAAGGGAAGTCATTTTAGAATTCAATTCAAGTTCGAAGTAGCAAAAGCTTGTCTCAAGAATGTGAATCGACAATCCGAGATGACCAAAAGAAGAAGTCTCAACCCAGAATAAAAGAAAAGAAAACAAATGAATCCAAAATGCAGAAGCAGAAGAAAGATGTGAACTGCTCAAGACATGGTTGAAGTCATGAGCACTGCATGTCCGGTCTTGATCTGAAGAAGTCATGGAAGAATAAATCAGCACCTACAGCTAGCAAGCATCAAGGTTCAAATCAAAAGTCTGCATGAAGAACCATTCAAGACTCAAAATCAAGCTTCAGAAGGCTTATAGATAAGAATCTTGTAACTCATAGCTGATAGGCTTGTTTACTTCTTTTAGATTTCAATTTTGATGTAATAATAGGACCGTGGACCGGAACCTCGACGGAACATTAGCTCACTCGACTCTCTCATCCTCTCCACACACTCCATCACTTCATTCACTTCTGAACTACACGTGGCATGATTCTGTTATATCTAAGGATATGTAGGTAGCTCAGATACCTGGGCTCAGTCACAATCTTTTGTCCATCTTTATTTCGTTTTGAATAAGCGTCGGGTCATAAATCAATTACGTTTCTTATTGTTCTTTGCTCCGAAAACTCTTCGTGTTTCTAAGCAAAGAGGGGCAGCTGTAAGCACGTAATTTTTGACCCGCGCAACTTTTAAAAGTAGTATTTTAAAAATATTTACTTATTTTCATTTTAATGGGATTTCAGTCAACTTTTAGTTTTAATTTTAAACATAAGTTTAAAAACTAAAAAATAGTTTTGTAATATTTCTTTTTAGCTTATTAGTATTTTATAATATTTATAACATTTAAAAAATACCAAAAAAAACATTTATTTTGATATATATAGTTCACTTTAATAGTTTATTCTTATTAACTAAGATTAATTAGTATATTTTGGTAGCATTTTTATTTTTATTTTTATTTTAATTAAATGAGAAAGAATTAAATTTGGGTCAATTGGCAGCTCATGTTCGGATTTTAGTGGCCCAGCAAGACAAAGTCCCATTCTTCTCAACCCATTAGCTCACTTTCCACTTAAAATGCAACATTTAATCTTAGCCATCTATTTACTTCTAATCCATTGGCCATTGTATACGACCAAAATCGGAAGAGTTCGACTTCAGGGTTATCATAGCATTTCATGCCCGTCCTCGATGAGCTCGATGGGGAATTTGGAGTATGCCCCCGAGGTGCTTCCCTCAAGGGAGCAAATCGGAGGTCGACTTCGGAGCAGCACAAATCGATGACCGTCATGGAAAGGCAGGAAAAGCTCCCAAAGACATGTGGTTAGAGCTGACCAGGTCTGCAAGAATAGTACAAGTCCGTACTAAGTCATTATACAGTTGTACTAGTAGAATTTCCTCGTCATTATTGTATATGTACTATGTTGGGATTCCCCCTCATATATAAAGGGGACTCTTGTCATCTTGCAAAGCATTCGATATTTACACAACATATTGAATACAATACAATATTCTATGTTCTTCGCTAACACAATTGTTCTTTACACTCATTGCTTTTTCTTTTATTGTTCATTTATTGTTCTTCATTTATTGCTCATTATTAGCTATAAAGGCTATATCTAAGTCCCTCATTACCGTTGATTCTTCATAGACTGTTCATAGCTATTAGCTTGTCTAAAACCTTGAGGCCCTGATCCAACCAGCTCGAGGCCCAGCTTTGGAACCCTATTGGTTTGCATTTCTTATTTTCTTTACTCACTCTTAGCATATATTGCCTAACAACTAATATCAAGATAAATCACATATTTTTAGAACCACAAATCAAATATAATTGTAGTTACCATTTTTAAGGTAAATAATTTGGCGCCCACCGTGGGGCTAAGAATAATAGTGATTGTTTTGGTGCAGTTCTCTGATAACACACGTTACACTTCACACTTGTTCTTGTCAAAGATTCTTTGATTTCAGGCTTAATCATGTCTAGCACACAAAATGCACCTTTTCACAACGGTGAAGAACTTGGGGAAAATAGAGGCATAGGGATGGGTGTACCACTTGTAAACCCTGAGGGAGTACCAAATGAGGAGCCAGTTGATATTAGCTCCCACAACGTTCTAAACACGGAAGAAGGCACGGACCCCATAAGGAACGGACGCAGGGAAGACCCGGTTGGAGGCCAAGAAGCACGAGGAGTGAAAGAAGGAGTCATCCTCCAAGTCATTTTTGAAATGTTGCAAGCACAACACATGGCTATTGCCTAGCTGCAAAGTCAACAAAAAACCTCAAGCACAGTAGCACCGGAGACGGCTCCTCGAGTCGAGCAGGTACGAGAGAGATCGAGCGACAACGGGCCACCAACAGACCCCGCTATTATAAAGATGCTCGAGGACCTCACCAAAAAATTGAATCAGGAGAAAAAAATATAGAAGATAACGACAAAAAGGGTGGAGACTTATAACTCGAGGGTCGATCAGATCCCCGGGCACCCCCGATTCTAAAGGGTATAGATAAGAAGTTCGTGCAGAGGCCATTCCCATCAAGTGCGTCCCCAAAGCACATCCCAAAAAATTTAGAATGCTCGATGTCCTGAAGTATAATGGGACCATGGACCCCAAT